AATAAAAGCAAAAGAGTGAAATGGACTTTGAACTATATTGGTAGCCAGCCAAGGTATTAGCCTGACTTCATCCTAGATGCTGGAATTTAGGATTAACTAAAAGGCAGGGAAAGTTTTAATCTCCACTTTATCCTGATTTGAGTCAAGTCTATCATTCCAATTTCCATGAAAACAGTGATTACTGCTTGATAGAGATAAGCATTCTACAAGGTAAGGGCAAGTAGGTGGACATTTAATCTACACTTAAAAGAACTGAACACATTGCTCAATATTCAGTCATTGCCTCTCCAAGGGTGAATTTTTTCTTTATTTAAATTCACTGGGACTTTGAGCATCATTCTGTTGGTAGACTATGCACCTCCAGAGATGCTGTGAGGATGGCAACTATGCAGAAAAAGACTTACAAAAACCTATTCTCTGGGGAAAATATTACAGATGAACAACTTGAGGCCAAATCACCAAAGAGAAAGACTCCAAACTGGACCATAATGAAATATGTAAGGGCCAGCTAAATAGCTCAGCAGATTAAAGTGCCTCAAAGCAGGTGCAGGGGCCAGAGGTTCGATCCCAGGGCCTGCTGTGCCAGCCCCGCCCTCAGGGTGAGCTGAGATGGCAATTGAGTGTGGGTGTGGAGACCTGTGCCTGTAATCCCAGCTCTTGGGGGGGGCTGTAAATAGGCAGATTAGAATGAGTCCGATCTAGTAGTGAGACCTTGAACACCCTGTAGACACTTCCTGAAAGTACAAAAACAAAAAAAAAAAAAAAATAAAACTTTTCACTAAAATTATAACCTACATCTGAAAGGGGGACTACTGCAAGAGATGAATATGATCAAATATAGACATCTATGAAAGTGTCATCAGTTATGAAATTATCACAAGTTTTATGAAATTATTACACACTACTGAAAACATAATTTTAAAAAATGACCTGTGTTATAATAAAATTTGGTGAATGCATAGTTTTGCGATTGCCTTTTTAGTTGACCTGAGAACTAATATAATAGATGAAGAAAATTAGTTCGTTATTCTTACTTGTGAAGTTTTTAATTATCGACAGTCTTATGTTTTATTAATTGGCTTAGACATTCCATTCCCTCTTAATTCAAGCTTGTTAGGTACTGTGTTTTTAGTACTAAGTCTGTTTCTTGGATACAATGGACATAATGTCTATTTGGGAGCATAAAATTGTTCAAAATAATCTTTATCACT